CAATATTAGCTTTGTTTGTGCCATGGAGGTGTGAGGGAGGAAGAGACATCCACAGAAACAGAGAACAAGGGGAAAACTTCTGAGTCTGTGGGGCAGGGTTACTTTGTACTGGAAAAGTTGGGAAGAAAGATTCCTCAACTGCAGTTGTTGAGAATCAGCAGGCAGAGAGAAAAGACTTTCTAGCAGAGAGCAGTGTTAGGCCAGTCTAGCTCAGCATCCTCAACAATCTGACAGACAGCAGAAACACTGGAAACACTTCAAGTCTGAACTTGTTCTTAGTCTCTTCCAGCTATCAGTGTAAAGTCACAATCAACAGTTTTTAAAAAAGAATTGTTTTTACCAAAACTTAAGTGTGTAAGAGACAAAGTCAATTAAAGTGAAAGCATAATTACACTCCTCTGGGACAATGCAGATGGAAAAACAGGGCAAAATATGCAAGAACATGAAACAAACAACACTTAGAGTGTCAGCAGTAGGGACATAACCCAAAGGAACAGGAAAGCAAATGGAATAAATATGTGTAACAAATCAATCAACCTCCAGACACAGAGTTAATAAGCCTGTGTAATTTTTATACCAGAGATAAATAAGAAGGCATAGGGGGGGAAAAAAAGTAATCCATGGACTTTGGTTGCTAATACTGATTTTCAAAGGTGTGTGATCAGGTTGTGTAGTCCCAGCCATAGAAACCAGAACACAGTCAGGGGAGATCTCCTAGACTGCAGCAATCTGGAGCAGGCCAGGATGTAAAGGATGCTCGATCCAGTAATGCTTAATGAAATTGGAAACACAGACAGGGAGTAACAGACCAAAATTCTCTGGGAAACCTACTCACTTGGAAAGTAGCTAATCAGTTGTTTCTGAATTGTAACATTTACAGTCTTTGTAAGGTAAGAAAAAAATAGGTTATACTGCAAAGGAGCTCAGAATTTAACTGGGAGAAAGCAGAGGCAGGTTCTCAGGAAGTGTTTGTGGCTGCTAAGACTTATTTTTCAACAGTGTACCCTCACAGGTGGGCCTGTTTCAGTTATGCACATAAGCACACAAGGACTTATCAGCAGGAAACAAGTTTATATGGATTTTCAGGCTACCTCTTCCTAATCAAGAGCAGGCTGAGAAGGAAACACCTGTGATGGACAAAACCAGTGCTTCACACAAACTGCTTACCAATGAAGGGATCAATGACATGACGCTTTTTCACCTTGGTTTCCGTGATGGCAGCATAATAGGCACAAGTCATTTTGATAAGCCATGCTGCTCTCATTACTGGAACGGTGTATTTTGCCAAATAACCAAAGACTTCTTCCTTCTTGCTAAAGATGGGCACCTATAACAGGATGGAGAGGGAGAAATGAGCCAAGGACTTGGATGGGAACTATTCCAAAGCAGCTACATCTGCTGCAGGTGCTGCAAGCTGCGAAAAAGGTAAAAAGGTAAGAGGCTACTGTGTTGCTCTGTATCTCAAAAAGCCTACTGCAAAAATTCACCTCTGGTCAGAAGGCACCAGTACCAGAGCTGCGTTTCAGTATAAAGAAAAGCAAAACAAATTGAAAGAAGAGAGAAAACATAATTACATGACTGTAAATCCATTCCCTGAATGCTGCAAACATCTTGGAGGCCATCCTCCAGACAGCATCTAAACAACTACAAAAGATACAGACTAAGGACTGAGTCAGAAACAGAGTATCTGCTGTACAGACTGAAGACAGGACTCTTCACTTTGTAAACAAAGCACAGTGGTTATAAAAGTTTTGTAATATCATGAATACCCCACAGGAGACTGTGAGAAACAGAGAATTGAGTAACATAGTAGGAAGGAATTCATTAATCCAAGATTCAAAATTCAAGATCCAACACAGGAGGATACCGGTGAAATCATCAGAGTGCAGATCTATAAACCAGGAAGCAACAACACATCACAGGAAAAAGTACAGCTGTGGGGCTCAGTTCCACACAATACTCTGGAGAGCACACATAAGGAATGAAACAAATTCCCAAAGAATAGGCCCATTGGTAGATACCTTTAAGTCCCTGAACTACTGACAATTCAATTATTTACCTGCTATGCTTCTCGCGTTCTTCCCAATTACTCTGATTCCTCCAAGACATAAAGGCACAGACTACTTGGCTACTGACAGTCGCTGCCTTCCCATCTAAATCCACAGCAACTGATGGAGCCCATTGCAGAAAAACTGGGGAAAGCCTTGAAAGGTTCAAGCTTTCACAATGACCTCAGGAAACTGGCAGCAAACAGCCAAAGAAAGACACAAGGACTAAGTTCATAAAGAGACAGATTGCAGGAAAGTCTGATTACTTTATTTCCTCTCAAGAATGACTCAGGACCTCAAGGAACAGACAAATTCCATCTTCTAAACTATGTGCTCCACTACCATTTCACAACTGGGAGTTCTGTTTTTCCACAAGGCGTACCAGATTCCCAAGTTCCTTGTTTATGTGCCTCCCCTGAGAGAGAGCTCTCTCCCCTGGCTGTTGGGCCTGATAAAATGCAGGGAGACCCTTTTTTCATACTCTACAGAATTCAAGGCTACAAGGGAAATATCTACCCCTAGAGCCCAGGGCACAGAAATGCTGTAGCCTGGCTGAGACCTGGTTTTAAGCTGAGGAGAGGATATGTGCTATCACTCGCACATATCCTCTCCTCAGCTTAAAACCAGAAACAAATCACTGCAACAGAAGTCTGGGAAGTCACTTAGCTGATTATTTTCAGTAGTTCTCACTATGGTTTTTGACAACCTGAGAAACCCTCCACAACAGAAATGTCCTAATCTAAACAACAGAGCAAAGGCAACAGTGGCAGCTCTTCCAAAACACGTCTGAACCTTAAAATAAATCAGTCATGTCCTATAAGCCAAAAGGCAAAGCTGGACACACCTCCAAACAACAGACAAGGGACCAGTTCTCTGAGTGGGGATGACTACAGTCAGGGCTCTACAAATCCTGGATCCACTCTTCAAGCTGAAAACTACACGAGATGTACAGATAAGAAACTTCTCCAAACAGTAAAAACCTTCAGAAACACTTCAGAAACAAGCCCAAATTAAATTCTCTGCCCTGCCAGGACACCTCTCCTGTAGCATACCTTCTTAGCAAGATGAGTGAGGGGCTTAGTTCCAGCCAGGTCTGTGAACCAGTTGTTTATGGCACTCTGAGAACGTGCTGTCACCAGCCAAAAGTTATCCTTCTGGTTCACCTGGGGTTTCCGCCTCCCTGTGTCAGGCAGTGTGTTGCACCGCAGCTTTTCTGCAATAATACTGCTGAAATTCGAGCTGATCTGGAAGAGAAAAAAAGGATTAATTACATTTCACGACTCAAAGATCTGTTTTCTGTGTGCTTAAAAATCTTATTTATCACTCCTACCAGAAGTATCGACTTTTGAAACACAAAAAAACTGCCAGTAAATTCCTTTGCTATGCTTGCAGAGATGAATGCTTCCAGACAACTCATACAATAACCAAGCAGGGACTGGAGATGGACACAGCACTTCATAAATACCTATCAAACCAGACAGAAGGCGCTTCTCAGACAGAAGTCAGCCAAGAAAAACAAATATCCTGTGCTCATTGATTGCCTTCCAACCCAGGTCATTACTAGTCCTTCTGTTGGGGAGGCCAGGAAGTCAACATCTTGATTTCAGAGACTGGAAAAATGGAGTTGAAGCCCGTTATGTAACTCCCCTGTTTGAACTGCCAGATGTTTCAAGAAATCTTACTTCTCTTTTACCGTGAACACGATGTAACCAAACCAGTAAGAACTTTCCCTCTCCTGGGATCGTAGCCTTCTGCTTTAACTGCAGAGTATGGGGAGTCCCAGATGCTGGTTTTACTGAGACTGCAGATACAGACCTGCTCCTAAGATGTACAGGGTAAGGTAGGAACTCTCTTGCAGAGGTGGGAGACAGTTCTAAAAGAATGCAGAACTTGGACTGCAAAGAAAGAGAGGGTCAGGTCCTAAAACTACTCATTCTAAAGGAAAAGGTCTCCTGGCTCTCGGCACAGAGAAGGGAATAAGACCCAGGGCTGTCCAGGATCCCGCAGCCCACCCTGCTAAAGGCCCCGTCTCACCTTCGCCGGGTTGAAATTGACATTTTTGGCACTGCCGTGCTCGTCCCCGGAGACCGCCGGCTGGTTATTGAAGCCTTGCTTGACATTCAGCGCAGTCAGCTCATCCTGCGGGGGGGAAGGACGGTCAGCGGGGCCCACCGCCGCCGCCTCCGTCCCCAGAGCGGGGCCGAGCGAGGCCAGGCTCGGCTGCTCCCCCGGCCCCCGCCGCCCTGCCCCGCCCCTCCCAGGGCAGTGCGGGACACCGGGACAGCGGCCCCCCCGGCCCGCCCAGCGCCCCCCATCCCGCGGGCCCGGCGGGACGGGCCCCGCTCCCGACCCCCGCCCTGCCGCCCCGCCGCCTCCCCAGGTCCGGTCGCAGCGCGGCGGTCCCGCACCCTGCGTCCCCCCCAAGGCTCCCTCACCTCCTTCTGCTTGGGGTCCTGCGGGTACACGTCGGGCGGGCCGAGGCGCGGGCGCTTGAGCGGGCGGTGCTCGTAGCTGAGGACGCCGAAGGCCGCCATGGCCGGGCGGGGGCGGCCGGGCCACAACAAGGGCCGCCGGGGCCGCCCGCGCCTGCGCGCTGCGCGCTGCGCCGGGCACGGCGGGGACCGACGGCACGGCCCGAGAGCCGCCGAAGATGCGCTGAGGGAGGACGGGCAGTCCCGAGCGCCGCCGGAGAGGCACGAGTGCTGACGGAGAGACCCGAGTGACGCCGGAGAGACCCGAAGCTGGGCCGAGAGAGAACGGACAGTCCCGAGTGTCACCGGAGAGACCCGAGTGTCGCCGAGGCCGGGCCGAGTAAACACGAAAAGGTCCGAGCGCAGACGGAGAGACCCGAAGCGAAGCCGAGAGAACGGAGATTTCCGAGCGCTGCCGGAGAGGCCCGAAGCCGGACTCGGGGTCGACGGAGAGTCCCGAGCGGTGCCGGAAAGTGCCGAAGAAGGACGAGGCGGCCCGAAGGGCCCGTGACCAACAACACCCCCCACCTTCCACGGCGGCCCCGACACCGGGACAACCCCGGCCACAGACACCCCCCTGCGGCCACCGCTGCATCGTCCCCGGCCCCCGGGACACCGGCGGTGCTGTCACACACACACAGCCCCGCCGGGACTGCCCCGATGCCGCCCGGTTCCCAGGAAGCCGGCCGGGCTGCAGATTGGGGTCCCCACAGCTGTCCCGCTCTTGGGGACAGCCCCGTGGGGTGATCCCTGTGGCAAGGCGGAGCGAGCCACGGGGACATGGCAGGAGGAAACGGGAATCCCAGAGGAATGGGCTGTCTGGTTCCAGTGGGATCTGTGGGATCCCACTGGGGTGAGCCATGAGGTCCCAAAGGGATGGGCCATGGGGTTGCAGTGGGATCTGTGGGATCCCACTGGGGTGAGCCATGGGGTCCCAGTGGGATGAGCTGTGGGGTCCCACTGGGGTGAGCCGTGGGGTCCCAGTGGTATGAGCCGTGGGGTCCAAGTGGGATGAGCCATGGGCCCCCCCTGGGGTGAGCTGTGGTCCCCATCAGAGTGGCCCTGGAGCAGCACATGGGGTGGGCCCCTCGGTGCAGGCGGTGCGTGGGGCAGGAAGCAGGGGCGGAAGCCACAGCCCTGCACGGGGCTGTTCGCATGCGCCCCATGGCCAGCCCCACCCCACCATGGCAGCTCTTGCCACCTTCCTGGTGCCTGTCCTCCTCCTCTGTGGGCCGGACCCCTGCCCTGCTGCTGCCCACAGCCAGCCAGGTAAGGGGGCACTTGGGCCCATGGGGAGGTGGGAGGCCGCAGATCCCCACTGTGGGTGGGGATGGAGCCAGTGATGGCGGGCGAGGAGGGCAGGATGTGGGGCTGTGTGGGCTGGCGCGCTGTTGGGGGGTGCGCCAGAGACCCTGTGACCCCCCAGTGTGCCCCAGGACCCCCGGCACCTACATGGCCCCTTGCAAAGGGGCTGCCAGGAGAGACAGGCTGTGCCAGGGAGCCCCATTGGGTGTCCTTGCTCCCACCCCAGCGATGGAGCGTTGCTGACACCACCAGCCCCATGGCTACTAGTCCTGCAGCGCTCCTGGCCCCATTACTCTACTGGCAGGCCCATGCTATCCATGGGTGCTGGCCAGGCTGGCGGCCTAGTGGATCTGCCCTTTCCATCCTGGTCACATCAGCAGTGCTGTGCACAGGAAGGAGATGCACAGGAAGGGAGACAGCAGCTTCTCTTTCCACCTGGCACCCTCATCCCAGCCATTGTTTTCTGGGAAAAAATCCACCTCTTGGCTGGCTGTCAGCAAAACAACAGCTTTCTGTGGAAACACAGCCCCTCTGTATCCCTGGACCTCCTGGGCTGCTGGGAAGGTGTCCTTCATGTGTGGAAACAGCCAGAGCGCAGCCCGTTTGCTGCATTGTGTTACACTACAGCTCAGAAAAGCCTGGCTCTGGCTTTTTCCTGCTCCTGCAGTTCTGGCTGGTGAGTTTGGACCTTGAGTGGGACCAGGTGTCCCATTGCCTGGTTTTTAGGGGAAAACCTCTCATTTTCTGTGAGTCTGCAGGACAGCTCTCAGCTGCCAGCAGCTGGGCTGGCACTTGAGAGAGCTCTGTGAGGTGTCTCAGTCCATCAGAGCAGCTCATCCCACAGCGAGATGTGCTTCTGAGCACCAGAGCAGACTGTGGTGTCATAACTGATGGGACCAGCACTGCTGCTGTGGCCCTGCAGCCTCCTGCCAGCCCAGGATGTGGCTACGTGGGTAAGAACCAGGCCTGGCACAGTGCAGCAGAAGGAGGGGGCAGAGGAGCCAGCATGAGTTTCCTGCAGAGATGGAGACTCAGAGGCTCAGCCTGTGGTGGAGGGGCTGTGGTGGGAAGCAGCCCAGCACAGCCTTGATCACCCAGACACAGAGACACATGAGCACCTGCAAGCACCCAAAAGGGTAACAGTGAGATGAATTTAGCCAGGATGGAGACACCAGGCATAAATACTGAAAAAAACCCCACCCTGATTTTCTCATGGGACAAACAAAATGGATTGGCAGAGAGGGATTTGTATCCTGCCCCACACCGAGGAGCTGCAAACAGCAGCTGTGGGGTGACTAAGGGGAGTAGATGGAGGACTCAGGGTGAAACACCACATCCACAGCATGAAAAGCCAACAGCACAGATGTGGGAGAGACAGCAGTCCTTTAGAGGAAGATGTGGGGCTGCTGGCAGCCCAGGCGTCACCAACACAGCTATGCCAGAAAGAGATGGGCTTGTTTGGCTAAGATGGAGAAAGGCTCATAGGGATATTGCAGGGACCTTGGCATGTGGCGTGTCTCCCCGGTGCACCCTTGGGCCCCGGCACAGCCTCCCACCACCACGATGCCCAGCAGTGTCTGTCATTTGCAGAGGTGAAGTGTGTCCTTTTCAACGAGGAGTACATGAACTGCACGTGGGGGAGCAGAGAGACACTCAAGGCCAACTACTCCCTCTACTACTGGTAGGTGTTCCTGCTCCACAGCCTGGTGTCCAGCGGTGGGTCCCCGTGCAGGGGGGCTACTGCCAGCATCGCTGGTCCCATCAGGCTGTTCCTCCTCCACAAGCCCAGGGTGGGGCAGGCTCTGTCTCCAGGGCAAGCAGGATGGGATGTGCTGGGGAGAGGGGTCCCCAGGAGGGCTGGGGCATGTGAGGCCTTGGGGAGCCCCGGTAACTCCCTGTGGCACAGGTACAGGAACACATCCAACAAGGTGGAGTGCAAGCATTACTGGCAGGACCAGGACATCAGAGTCGGCTGCTACTTCAACCAGAACGAGATCATCCAGTTCCAGCCTTTCCACGTCCTTCTCAAAGCCAGCATGGGCGGCAGCACCCTGGAGATCAGCAAGCGCATGGAGCTGCAGGACCTGGGTACAGATTGGTCCCCCAGGGCTGACCCATCAGGTCCCAGCTGGCAGCAGGGCCATGGGGCCATGGGGCCAGCACTCACCAGGCATTCACCTGCAGTGAAACCAGATGCGCCCGTCAACCTGACCATCCACAACATGAGCAACAACCAGCTGCAGCTGACCTGGGCCACCACATACCCCAAAGCCAAGTGCCTGGAGCACGCTGTGAAGTACAAGAGCAACAAGGACACCGACTGGATGGTGAGAGCCCCTGGGCACAGCACCCTTGTGGCTGTGCCTAGGGAGGAGCTGTGCACCAGCCTCCATGGCAGTCCCAGCCCACAGCCATGGCTCATGTCTCTGCAGGAGATCTCGGTGAATGGAGATGTCTTCTCCTTACCCAGCGTGGACTACAAGAAGTTCTACACCTTCTATGTGCGCAGCAAGGTCAACAAATACTGCGGCAGGACCCAGCTCTGGAGCGAGTGGAGCGTTCCCGTGGTCTGGGGCAGCAACTCCACCAGCAAGGGTAGGTCCTGGGGACTGTAGTGGGATGGGATGGGATGGACTGGAGCATGGCAGGGCTCAGCAGGTGAGGGATGGCCAAGCAAGTAGAGAGCTGGCCTGAGGTGGCAGCTGTAGGGGCAAGACCCGTCTGGGCACCTGGAGTGCAGGCAGCAGCATCAGCCTCTGCTGCTTTGTACTTCTGGAAGCCAAACACACCCCAGCAGTGGGACCTGCTGACTTTTGCCAGGGGTTTCTTAGCACTGGAGGGCTGCCCTGGCACTGCTGGGCCAGGACAGGGTCACCAGCCAGTTTTGGTGGTAGCGTGGCAGGGCTTGGAGATGGGCCCCTTCTCCATCCTCTGCTCCCAGAACAATGCCATGGCCACCCACTGCCATGGCCATGTACTGTCTGGGCATCAGTGTCACCTTGGTTCTTTCCAGGCACAGTCCACTGGCTCTGGATCCACACGGTCTTGATCCCCATTGCCTCCTGCCTGATCTTGCTGGTCCTTGTCATCCTGCTGGTGCGCATGGAAAGGTGAGTGTGGGGAGCTGGTGGGGGAGACAGCAGCACTGGGGCTCTTCCCCTCTGACAAACCTCTCCCACACAGGGTATGGGTCATCCTAATGCCCCGAATTCCCAACCCCAGCAAGAATTTTGATGAGCTCTTCATCACCCACAATGGCAACTTCCAGGTAAGGCAGATGCAGACGGCCCTGCCCTGGGCTCGCCCTGCACCGCGGGGTTGGGGCTGGGCTGGGTGGTGGCTCCTCTCACTCTGCTCTGCTCCCTGCAGGAATGGGCTGGAGTCCCCAAGGATGTTGTGGAGAGCTTCAAGCCCAACTACAGCGAGAACATCTGCTATGTGAGTGAGCTGCCACCCAAGGACAGCTACGAGCCCCTCTGGGAGAGCAGCAACCCCCCACCATCTGTGATGCCTTCGGCCTCACCTGCCCCCGGCGAGCATAGCCCCTACAAGAACAGCTATGGGAGAGTGTGACACGCTCCTGCACCCCCCACGCTGCACAGCTTTGCTGCCCAAACCTCACTGCTCTGCAGGCCCTGCTCCCTGCTCCTGCCATGCCTCCCCCAGCTGCCCCTGGTTTTGCTTCCTGCCATGGCCACACTCAGCCCCCCATGACACAGGGGCTGCACTGCACTGCAGGTGCTGGGGGAGCACGGTGTGCTGGGTGCCCTGGGGGCTGCACTGGGGGCACTGGTGGTGCACTGGTGCCCACAAGCACACCCAGAGACGTGTCCTGGCAAGCAGGCAGGGGCCACTGGCAAACTAATGGGGACATGGGGGATGAGGAGTGCCAGGGAGACCAAGAGTGGAAAAATAATGGAAGACACCTGAAGAGTATTGTAAACATGTTCAAGTGACTTGCATCTGGGTGTAGAAAAACATATATACCATACTCTTAGATGTTTAGCCTTGTGTGTTTGGCAAGTAGAACTTCTGTGTTTAGATAACACAGGCTTGTGATAGACTTAGTGGCACCTTATTTAACATGCTTGAGATTCCTGCCCTGCTATGGGAAAGATCAGATCACAGTGGTAAACCAGGACTGCACAAATCCTTGATAAACAGGCAAAAACAGCAGGTTCAGTGATTCTCCAGCACAGGCCAAGCTCCACAGTACCTGCATCCCTGCTTGTCTGCCTCTGCCCAGGTGCTGCTTGGGGGATCCTCCAGTCCTCGAGATAATGAAAATAAATTTCCTCTTTGCCTTTCATCCGTGGTTTTGTGGTTGTTCCTGTGTCCTGCCTCTACCAGCTCAGACCGCAAGCCACTGTGTTACCCTGGGGCCCTGGGCAAGCCTGGCAGTTCCCCCAAGGCCTCGCTGCTCCTTGCCTGCTCCCCAGGTTTCCCATGGCATTAAAGCTCTGGCCACCAGGGCCTTGTCCGGGCTTGTCCAGGCTTGTCACACAGGGTCTGGGGGAAGCACCAGTGGAGCCCCACCTCCTGAACACCTCTGGCCTTGCACACGTTGTGACGCAGGAGCCAGCCCCACCATCCCAGCCCCACTGTCCCAGGCTGGCATCAATCATCATCAAGCATGCAGATGAGTCCCCTCCTGGCTGTCCCACGGTGCTCCCTGCACACGGGGTGATGTGCTGTGGCCTCCCTGTGCAGTGGGCTCGGCTCTGGGCTCTGCAGCCACTGCCAGGGCCACCTGCTGCCCTCAGCCACGGCTGCTGTCCCTGCAGGAGACCAGAGCTTTCTGGCCAACACCGACTGCAGCGTCCTGCAACTGCTCTTACAGAATCACAGAATCAATCAGGTTGGAAAAGACCTCTGAGATCATTGAGTCCAACCTACGACTGACCACCACCACATCAACTGAGACCACGGCACCAAGTGCAAGTAAGACATCCAGCCTTTTTTTAAACACCTCCAGGGATGGTGACTCCACCACCTCCCTGGGCAGCTCATTTCAATGCCTGACCACCCTTTCTGTGAAGAATTTCCTCCTGATGTCCAACCTAAACCTCCCGTGGTGCAGCTTAAGACTATGTCCAGCCGTTCTGTCGCTGGTTGCCCGGGAGAAGAGCCCAACGCCGCACCTGGCTACAACCTCCTGTCAGGGAGTTGTAGAGAGCGATGAGCTCTCCAGGCTGGCCCCCCCTCAGGCTCTGCTCAGCAGCGCTGGTCCCCAGCGCCGTTCCCGATCCCGATCCCGATCCCGGCCCGCTGGGGGCGTGTCCGGCGCTGACAGCGGCACTGCCCGGCCCCGCCCACGCGGCGCGGCGGAGGCCGCCCCCTGGCGGCGGCGATTGGCGCAGGCGGGCCCGCCCCCCGTGCCCGCCGCGGAGCCGGCGCTGCCCCGGCACTGCCACCGGCACCGGCACCGCGGGCACGGCACGGCACGGGCTCACCATGATCGTGTGTCCCCAGAGCGTGGAGCACCCCCGAGGAAGCCGATGCCAGCGGCTGCCGGGGCAGGTAGGACCCGCCCCGCCGCGCCACCGCCACCGGCAGCCCGTACCGGAGCACCGGGCTTCGCCCTGCTGGCCGCCACCGGCCCGGCACGGCTGCGGCACCGACAGGCCGGGACATTCCCCCTGCCCGCTGGCGGTGCGCGGGGCCGGTAGGGTGAGGCTGCGCTCTCACGGTGCCGCGGCCGGCGAGTTGGTGCCGGTGCCGGTGCCGGTCGCGGTGCCGGTGCTGGTGCGGCGGCTCCGTCCCCGTCCCCTTTGTGCGGGATGCGGGAGGCGCCGTGGCTCCATCACTGCCAATCAAACTTGTTTTTCTCTCTCCGCCTGCACTGCCCGCGCCGCCCGCCGGGGGCGCTGCCGCCGCCGCCGCCCGCACAATGGGCCGCGGGTACCGGCCCCGGGCGCCGCCGGGGGAGCCCCTGCCGCGGGCACTTCGCCCGTCCCCTCGAAACCCGGGCCGGAGGGGCTGGGCGAGAGGTGCCGCCGCGGCAGCATCTCCAGAGAATGCCACCGGCGGGGCCACCGGTACCGGCGGAGCCACGGTCTCTCCTGGCGGAGGGATGGAGCCCCGGCGGGGATGCCCCTCTCTGCGCATCCCGGTGCTGCCCGGGCTCGCTCCCGGCCGGCCGGGCTCCTCCAGACTCCTGCCGCCTTTTTGTGCTCACGGCTGCCGAGCGGGAGCACCGGGGCACCGCTCCCCCGGCAGCACCGCCGGGTGGGGAGGGGGCGAGGTTGGTGGTGGGTACGGGGTCGAGGTGCCTGTTGGGGTTCAGGGGGCTTGGACACAGGAAAGCCTCCCCGGGGAGGGAGGCGATGTTCCCACCGCCCAGGGGTGCGAGTGGGTGCAGGGGAGGAGGAGGACTATGGCCGAGGAAGGTGAGCAAAGTGGCACTGGGAGCAATGCGAGAGGCTGGGGAGACAGGAGTGCGGGAATGTGGCAGGTGGTCCCGGTAGGAGACACCCTGGGCTGAGCTGGTACCTTTGGGAGTGGGCAGGAGAGAGGCCGAGGTCGGAGCTTGCCCTGCACCTTCCTTCATCCTCTCCTTCCAAGCCGTGTCTGCCTAGCTGCTCTCTCCACCACCACCACCTGGACAAGCAGAGTGAGGAGAGCTGGCAGCACCAAAGGCTGAGCCATGGGCTGGTTGAATGGCTCCTTGCTATGGACCACCTTTCCCCAGTGGGAGTGGAAGGGCCCCCAGCTCCTCTGCCCACGAGGAGGAGAAGACCAGTGGCTGTAACCCCATGGTTGTCCTCATGGCAGCTCCTTTCCCCAGGTAGAGGGACTTTTCAGGGGGCTTTCACATGTCACTTCTGGCTTGTACCTTCCCCTATGGAACAGAGAAGCTGGTGCTCCTCATTTCTTTCCATTTTAATTTGACTTTTGGGGTTTTTTGGACCTCTTTGGCCAGAGGAAGTTGATGTTCCAAATGTCATCGAGTTAATCTCTTGACATCTGAGCCATGGTATGTTCATCAGAAGTGCAGGATGGCGGAAAATAGCCAGAGCTGCTTCCTGCACTGCCTCTGTGGGTGCAACTGCTCTGTGCTGCCACAAAGCTCATCACTGCTCTGCCTCCCCCTCACCCCGGGGTGCTCTGCCACACACCCCATGGCTTTGGTGGTTTGCAGAAGTGCTCCTGGTTTTCTGCTATGCCACTGTGGTTGCCGTGCCCCAGTCACCATCCTTTGGGGGACTGCGCCGGAGAGGCAGGTGGGAGGAACATGACGGTGGGATCAGCAGGGCCAGAATTTCCCAGGGGAGATTTCAGTTCAAGCCTGGGAGAGGAGACGCATCCTCTGCATCCCAGGGTGCTGCCTGGGCTCCCCCAGGTGAGCAGGGGCTCTGAGTTTCTGTGTGACAGGGGTTAGCACCTGCTGCACCCACAGCTCAGGGTGGGCAGGCGGCAGGTGCAGACCCTGCTGTCGGGTGGGAATTGTGGCAACACGGTCGTTGGGGCACAGCAGCCGCCCGGACACCTTTTCAACATCCCTGCCCTCGGCTCCCATCACCCTCTTGGGAGGGACTGGGGTGGGCACTGCTGGGGGTGTCTGGGCCCCCCATGCCGAGTGGCCCATTTGTGTTCTCACCAGTGGGCACACCTGGTGACAGTTGCACTGTGTCCTGCGGGACCGCTCCCACACGTGCTCCTTGGACAACACGTGGGGAGCTCCTCTGTGTGCTCCTGACCACATGGAAGGTGCCAGGACAATCACTTGCCTCTTGACTTGCCAGGGCAGGAGCCTCAGAGCCCCTCTGCTGTCTCCACAGCTCTTCCCCATCTTGCTGCTGGGCAGGAGGGCTCAGTGCTGGCAGTGTAGGGGCCTGGTGGTAAGGCTGACAGGCTGCTCCATTCTGGAATGTCTTTCCATGTCATGTTTCCCCTGCTCCAGCCCCGCATCACTGCAAGGAAACATCATTCCTAGTTGGTCCTTTGCTTCAGCTCACCGTGCAGTGCCTTCTCCCAGGCAGAGGCCAACCTGTGTGTCTTGTGACCTGTCCTCCTGCTAGCAGTGCCTGTGCTGAGCAGTGCTCTGCCTGGCTCCAGGAGTGTCCTTCTGGGAGCACCAAGCCAGGAGAGGGGATTTCTGCCCCTTGCAGAGCCTGGGCTTGGCTGGGATGGGCTGCTGCAGCAGGGGCTGCTCTGAAGAGGGCCAAGCAGAGCGTGTTTCCTGCAGGTAGTGAAGATGTCCGGCAGCGACCCTGAGTGCCCCCAGTTCCTCTTCGTGAAGGTGCTGGCGAGCCGGGGGCGGCTGGAGGCAGTGACCCAGCAGATGGGCTACCACCCACAGTACCTGGACAGCTTCCTCAAGATGCAGCACTACCTGATGCACATGGATGGCCCCCTGCCCTTTGACTGCCGGCACTACATCGCCATCATGGTGAGCCCCACTGGGAGCTGCCGGAGGGGACAGGGGCTCTGCTCAGCCCTGTGGGGCTCCCCTCTCCCTCCAGCAGACAGCCTGTGTCAGAGGCTTCTCATCAGAGGCCAAAATCGTGGTGTCCTGGAGGTTGGGTGAGAGGTGGGCATGGGGTGCCGGGGTGCCTGTGTGGTGCAGGGATGCTGATGTGCTGCTCTTGCAGGCGGCTGCCCGGCACCAGTGCCGGTACCTGGTGAACCTGCATGTGCTGCAGTTCCTGAGGGCAGGGGGTGACCCCCAGTGGCTGCGCGGCCTCGAATTCATCCCCCCCAAACTCCGCAACCTCAACGAGATCAACAAGATCCTGGCACACCGGCCCTGGCTCATCACCAAGGAGCACATTGAGGTACTGGGGGAGGGCTGTCAGCCAGGGACCAGGGCAGCAGTGGGGGACAGCAGTGTCCCCAGAGGCTGCCAGCACCCTGCCCACCTGCCTGTGGCACACTGCTGGTCTGTGTTCTGCAGAAGCTGCTGAAGATCAGCGAGTGGAGCTGGTCACTGGCAGAGCTGGTGCACGCCGTCGTCCTCCTGGCGCACTGCCACGCGCTCGCCAGCTTTGTCTTCGGCTGTGGCTGTGAGCAGGACGAGGGGCTGGGGGGCCGAGGCTCCCTGAAGCCCCTGTCACTCGGGAACCAGTGCTTCTGCGAAGCCACCGCCGGCAACAGCTGCAGCCAGGAGCTGCTGCGCATCAACCGCAAGCGGGTGAGCCCCCGAGGGTGGGTGTGCTGGGGAGGGGGAGGTGCAGCCACGACTGCTGCCCTCACCCCCAGCCTGTGTCTGTGCAGTCCCTGGACTCCTGCATGGAGCTGGATTCCCTCCGGGAGCGCATGCAGCGGATCCATGTGGAGGCCGAGGGCAGGGAGGAGATGAGG